GGGAAATCGTGTCTTACTAATCTATTAGAGTTCTTTGAAGGGGTCAACAAAAATGTGGACAAGGGGGATGCAGTGGACATAGTGTACTTAGATTTCCAGAAAGCCTTTGACAAGGTCCCTCGCCAAAGGCTCTTACGTAAATTAAGTTGTCATGGGATAAGAGGGAAGGTCCTTTCATGGATTGAGAACTGGTTAAAAGACAGGGAAGAAAGGGTAGGAAGAAATGGTAAGTTCTCAGAATGGAGAGGGGTAACAAGTGGTGTCCCCCTAGGGTCAGTCCTTGGACCAATCCTATTCAACTTAGGGCTGGTCCACACTAAGCCCCCAGTTCGAACTAAGATACGTAACTTCAGCTACGTGAATAACGTAGCTGAAGTCGAAGTATCCTAGTTCGAACTTAAAGGTACTTACCGCGGGTCCACACGCGGCAGGCAGGCTCCCCCGTCGACTCCGCCTACTCCTCTCGCGGAGCAGGATTACCGGCGTCGACGGCGAGCACTTCCGGGATCGATTTATCGCGTCTAGACAAGACACAATAAATCGATCCCAGAAGATCGATTGCTTGCCGCCGAACCAGCGGGTAAGTATAGACGTACCCTTATTCATAAATGATCTGGAGAAAGGGGTAAAAAGTGAGGTGGCAAAGTTTGCAGATACTAAACTGCTCAAGACAGTTAAGACCAAAGCAGACTGAAGAACTTCAAACAGATCTCACAAAACTAAGTGATTGGGCAACAAAATGGCAAATGAAATTTAATGTGGATAAATGTAAAGTAATGCATATTGGAAGAAATAACCCCAACTATACATACAATATAATGGGGGCTAATTTAGTTACAACGAATCAGAAAAAAGATCTTGGAGTCATCGTGGATAGTTCACTGAAGACGTCCACGCAGCGTGCAGCGGCGGTCAAAAAAGGAAACAGGATGTTAGGAATCATTAAAAAGGGGATAGAAAATAAGAGGGAGAGTATCTTATTGCCCTTATATAAATCCATGGTACGCCCACATCTTGAATACTGCGTACAGATGTGGTCCCCTCATCTCAAAAAAGATATACTGGCACTAGAAAAGGTTCAGAGAAGGGCAACTAAAATGATTATGGGTTTGGAACGGGTCCCATATGAGGAGAGATTAAAGAGGCTAGGACTTTTCAGCTTGGAAAAGAGGAGACTAAGGGGGGATATGATAGAGGTATATAAAATCATGAGTGATGTAGAGAAAGTAAATAAGGAAAAGTTATTTGCTTGTTCCCATAATACAAGAACTAGGGGCCACCAAATGAAATTAATGGGCAGCAGGTTTAAAACAAAAGGAAGTTGTTGTTCACACACCGCACAGTCAACTTGTGGAACTCCTTGCCTGAGGAGGTTGTGAAGGCTAGGACTATAACAGCGTTTAAAAGAGAACTGGATAAATTCATGGAGGTTAAGTCCGCTAATGGATATTAGCCAGGATGGGTAAGGAAAGGTGTCCCTAGCCTCTGTTTGTCAGAGGGTGGAGATGAGTGGCAGGAGAGAGATCACTTGATCGTTGCCTGTTGGGTTCACTCCCTCTGGGGCATCTGGCATCGGTAGACAGGATACTGTGCTAGATGGACCTTTGGTCTAACCCAGTATGGCCATTCTTATGTTCTTATGTTCCTTTCCTTAGGATCACAACATTTATCATTTCAGGATCCCTTTCATCCAAATTGCCTTCCACCTTTAGATTCGCTACCAATTCCTCTCTGTTAGTCAGAATCTAGTCTAAAGTGGCTGTTCCCCTTGTGACTTTCTCCACTTTCTAAAACACAATGTTGTCCCCAATACATTCCAAGAACTTACTGTTTTCAGGTTAAGTGTGGCCTGACATTCTTGCCCAAATATATTGGGGTGGGGGGTTGGGATGTTGGGGTCATTCTAATTTTAGTTTTGCTGAAATATATTGTCACATGTTTTCAGAGGGTAGGTGTGTCTTCTTTTACAGGAAATCTGATGTTAATTTTTTCAGCCTAATGTAGTGGAAGTATCTCTTTCTAGAGAGACATCACCGAGAGCGTTAAAGTGTTCAAGAGTGTTGATCTGTTATCTTCTCTAAATAGGAACCTTAAATTATTTCACTCAGTGGGGTTTTATTCACATTCTCCTTTTTCCTCGAACTATCCCATGTCCTACTTCCTTTCTTCTGGTTGGGGCCGTAGTCACAATGAGAGTCCTACTTGTCTGATGTACTAAGGCTTTCAGAGTCCTAAGATCTTGAGTTCTGGGGCTGGGAGCTGCTCTTGGGGGTACTGTGACACGGCTCTTCAGTTTAATTTCTCCCATTATACACCAGAGAGATATTACTTACAATCCCAGATTAACGTGTGTGTGAAAGGAGGATAGGTTGTCAGCAGGTATAGTGGAATCAGATGTCCCAATATTATAGTGAAAACCGAACAAATCCTAGTTTCAGTATAATCATCCAGGATAATGGTAGTAAACTGGGATATTTGGCCACCTTTCTTCAACATTCACAGATCTTAGTCTGCTTATTGTCAGCTCTAGATCATTGTTTTTCTTCATCCTTTATAGTTTCTGAATTGCACTGGTTTGCCTTGTACCTACCAACATCCTCCAAACAAAAAGTAGATGTTAATGTGCATATATGTGCATGCGTTAGTTTTGAAATGGCTGATGGCATGTACCGTTTTGGGCAGGGTATGGCTGTTCCCTGCATGACATATAGGGGAGAGAAATCTGGTATCAGGAAGTGGCGTTTTCTCTCCCACGTGGCTTGCTCCTTCTTTGACATTGTCTGCTTTGATCTAGAAAGGAGGAGAGCAGATGTTGGGGAAAGTACAGTAGCAGGAGGCCTAGTCTTATTTTTTTGAGGCTAGCTACCTCAGTCAGCTCTAATGGAGCTGCAGCCAGACTAGCCACGTGGGAGTTCCAGAGGCCCTTCTTTTATTCCTCTGGCTCTCTGCTTATTTAAAGTAGACTGTCTCCAGCCTTTTGGGGCCTGAAAGTGGAAGGATGTGTGAGACAGGTTGGATCACAGAAACCCCCTTGGGAACAGTCACCTGATGTGCCTAGACTACCTCTGAGCCTGTTTTCCCTGCCAGCTTGGGACTTCAGGCCCTTGTCTGGTTTGAGCCAGACATGCTTGCCTGCTGCAAACACAGACCCAGGTCTGAACCACATCCCCCAAAAGCTGCAGGCTTAACTGAAAACAGCTTAAGAAGTGTTCCTGTCTCCAGCCCTCAGCTACCCAACTCCCAATGGGGTCCAAACCCCAAATAAATCCATTTTGCCCTATATAAAGCTTATACAGGGTAAACTCATGAATTGTTCGCCCTCTATAACACTGATGGAGAGAGATGTGCAGCTGTTTGCTCCCCCTCCCCCCCAGGTATTAATACATACTCTGGGTTAATTAATAAGTAAAAAGTGATTTATTAAATACAAATAGTAGGATTTAAGTGGTTCTAAGCAGACAGAACAAAGTGAATTACCAAGCAAAATAAAATAAAATGCTCAAGTCTAAGTCTAATATAGTAAGAAAGTGATTACAGATGAAATCTCTGAGACCCTCAGAGATGTTCCAGTAAGCTTCTTTTACAGACTAGCCTCCTTCTAGTCTGGGTTCAGCAATCAATCACCCCCCTGTAGTTACTGTCCTTTGTTCCAGTTTTTCAGGTATCCTTTGGGGGTGGAGAGGGTACCCCTTGAGCCAGCTGATGACACAATGGAGGGGTCTCCCAGGACTTTATATAGTTTCTCTCTTGTGTGGAAACCCCTCTCTCCCCCTGTGTAGAATCCCAGCTACACGATGGAGTCTTGGAGTCACATGGGCAAATCACATGTCCATGCATGACTTAGTTCTCTATAGGGATGTTCCCAGGAAAGCTCAGATGTGGATTGGCATCTATCAAGGTCCATTGTTCGCCACATACTTCCATTTACTTGAATACCCCTTCACACTATGTTGAGCAAATCTGCCTTAGGTGCAAACACTTTAAATACAATAATAGAGCCAACGCTCATAACTTCAGATATAAAAAGGATACATGCATACGAATAGGATGAATGCATGTAGTAGAACATAACCTTTGCAAAGATATGTTACGTGGCATATCTAGCATAAAACATATTCCAGTTGTCATATTTACATTCATAAGCATATTTCTATAAAGCGTGTACATCTGGTAGGGATCTCAGTTTCTGTCCCTTGTTTGTGTGTGTAAGCCCTGGGGGAGTGAATACGTCTGGGTGGTGGCAATGGTCCTGGGCCCCTTCTTCGGTTAAGAACCTGTCAAGTTTCCTGCTGGCCTCTGTGCAGGTCATTGAAAACTGAAAATTTGGAGGCAGCATAAAATGAAATTGTAAACAGAAACAAGGAACACTAGACCATTTGGACATGGGGAGTTGGCCATAAATTTAAATTTCCTGAAATTTATGCCATTACATTCTCATCTATAATACTACATTATGTAGTTTTTGGTATTGATAGCCCAGGGTGGTAAAATGACACATGGATTGCATTGCATTATATGAAAATGGTGTTCTGGTGATAAAGCATGAGAGTAACAATTAAGTAATTATGTCATTATTATCTCAGTGGAATTACTGTAATTCCTTGTAAGAGAGTATATAGCTATATCTATTAATAAACGTACAATATACTTTTAAAATTAAGATTGGCTAGTGTTCCAATTGGCTGAAGAACATTAAGCCTTTTCTTTGATAATCAGAATGCTAGTATTTAGTAATGGTACAATAAGCAATTGTAATATTCTGATCCAGTGACGACATCTCTTAATTAGAGGTGACATAGTTCAATGATCTGAAATGCTAAATTCAAAGTTAACACAATATTACTGCTATTGCTAAGATTTTATCATCGTAGGTCATTACAGAACATTCTCTAATTCAAACTGCCTGTTTTGTCTCCTTCATTTAAAATTCTATTGTTATAGGTCCTTTCCTCATTCTATATAGAGATTTGTTTGTAAAACTGTTTAATGTTTTTTCATAGGACCAAAGAATACAGTGCTTCGTCTAGCTGTAAAGTTTTTCCCTCCTGACCCTGGTCAGCTGCAAGAGGAATATACCAGGTAAAATATCTTTCAAAGTAATTAATGTTCGTTAGTGGTTAAAAATATGGAAATGAAGGGCAGACACAAATAAGCTCACCTAAGAGGGTATTTTCTCTGTTATAACAATAAAGGTTAGCTTTTAGGGAAGGTGGGGGAGCATTTCTATTAGAAAGTCACATTTCTAACAGAAATACCGATCTTAATGATTCAGGTGGTAGATGATGCCTGTGGCGGTAAAAACTAGTGAAAGTTTGCATGAATAGATAACGGTGCAGGTCGGCTGGGGCAATTTCTGCCTACCAAACATGTCAATTGAAGGAGGCAGTTGTATAGAGGAAACGGTCACTCTTTATATTGTACATTTATAAATAGTTTCTAGAAGGATTAAGAGATAAATGTTTTAATAAATGGTTAATTGTCAAATAGTAAGAATCCAACAGGTTAGTAGATTACATCTATAACAGCTTCTGCTGATATGCTTATCATATTTAGCATGTTACTTATGTCAGATTTTAAAAAGTTGGTAAATAATTGATATCTTAAGCATGTTACTATCTGTAAATGTACCCTGGTCCTGTCCCTTCATCACCAACAGGTAATGTGATTGGAGAGATCTGCCTGTAACAGATCTTTCCCAGGTTGGTTGTAAACTTGTCCATCTGCCTCTCACCAGACCTTTCTTCTGCATCATAGCAGCTGTCTTCCTCCGTCCCGCAACTGGCTTCATCTCTCCTTCCTGATTACCCCCACCTCTCTACAGTTCTCACCACCTCTACCTTCTCCTCTTCCTCTCTTCACTTTGATCTTCTCTTCTCTTCTCTCCTCCTGCCAGCACAAATCTAGGTCCCCCATCTGTTTTCTCCTCATAACCGTAGGCCTGGTCTACACTACGGGGTTAGGTCGAATTTAGCTGCGTTAGGTCGATTTAAAAACGACTGCATCCACACAACCAACCCCGTTCCCTCGACCTAAAGGGCTCTTAAAATCTACTTCTGTACTCCTCCCTGACGAGGGGAGTAGCGCTAAAATCAACTTTGCTATGTCGAATTTGGGGTAGTGCAGACGCAAATCAACGGTATTGGCCTCTGGGAACTATCCCAGAGTGCTCCATTGTGACCACTCTGGACAGCACTTTGAACTCCGATGCATTAGCCAGGTACACAGGAAAAGCCCCGGGAACTTTTGAATTTCATTTCCTGTTTGGTCAGCGTGGCGAGCTCAGCAGCACAGGTGACCATGCAGTCCCCTCCAGAATCGTAGAGCGTAGAATGTTTCTACGCTCCCCATATCCTCTCCATCCCTGAGGTTATCGCAGATTAGAAGGCAAAAAAAATGCACTCATGATGACATGTTTTCCGAGCTCGTGCAGTCCTCCCGCAGTGATAGGGCACAGCTTAATGCATGGAGGCATTCAGTAGCAGAAGCCAGGAAAGAATTAAGTGAGCGCAAAGAGCGGAGGCAGGACGCGATGCTGAGGCTAATGAGGGAGCAAACGGACATGATGAAGCGTCTGTTGGAGCTGCAGGAAAGCCAACAAGAGCACAGACCCCTGCTGTATCTACTGTATAACCGCCTACCCTCCTCCCCATATTCCGTAGCCGCCTCACCCAGATGCCCAAGAATGTGGGGGGGGGAGGGGGGAAGGAGAGGCTCCAGGCACCCAGCCACTCCACTCCAGAGGATGGCCCAAGCAACAGAAGATTGTCATTCAAACACTTTGATTTTTAGTGTGGCTACAATAAGCAATGTGTCCTTGTCCTTCCCTCCTCCCTCACCCCACCCGGGTTACCTTGTCCGTTATCTTTTTTTTTTTTAATTAATAAAGAAAGAATGCATGGTTTCAAAACAATAGTTACTTTATTTCGAAGCGGGGAGGGTGGTTGGCTTACAGGGAATTAAAATCAATAAAGGGGGTGGGTTTCCATCAAGGAGAAAAACACACACAACTGTCACACCAAAGCCTGGCCAGTCATGAAACTGGTTTTCAAAGCCTCTCTGATGCGCAGTGCGCCTTGCTGTGCTCTTCTAATGATTGCATTGGCTACTTGGATCACAGCAGCCCCCACAGTAGACTTGCCCACAACAGCAGTGGTGACGGTGAGCTGAGCAGGCTCCATGCTTGCCGTGGTATGGCGTCTGCACGGGTAACCCAGGAAAAAAAGCGTGAAACGATTATCTGCCGTTGCTTTCACGGAGGGAGGGGCAACTGATGACATGTACCCAAAACCACCCGCGACAATGTTTTTGCCCTATCAGGCATTGAGAGCTTAACCCAGAATTCCAATGGGCGGCAGAGACTGCGGGAACTGTGGGATAGCTACCCACAGTGCACCGCTCCATAAGTTGATGCTAGCCATGGTAGTGAGGATGCACTCCGCCGACTTAATGCTCTTAGTGTCGACATACACAATTGACTGTATAAAATCGATTTCTAAAAGTCGACTTCTATAAAATGGACCTAATTTTGTAGTGTAGACATACCCTCAGGTGACTCAGGCTTGAAACCTGGGTTTCATATCAGACTTGAACCTCTCTCTAAGGTCTTGTATCCAGGCTAAATATTGCTGATTTTTTTTTTTTCTGCATAACATCTCTAAGGCACAGCCTTTTCTATTCATCCTCACAGCTAAAAGTCTCATCCAGGATCTCATCATGTCCTGTTTTGGTTACTGTAACATCCTTTCCTGTAGCCTTGATAAATGTGATCTTGCCCTGCTCGTATCTATTCAGAATGTTGCTTCAAAGAGCATTTTCCTAGCCCAACGCTTTGACCGTGTCACCCATTTCTTTGCATCCCTTCACTTGCTCTCCCTTCTCTAGTGCACTGAAAATAAGCTACTTGTTCTCCCTTTCCAGATTTATCCCTACCATGTCTGTCACTATCAAAATGTCAATTCCCACCTGCAGTCAGCCCATGATGCCAGTCTTTGCAATATTGGAATCTTTTGAATAGCAGGGTCTGTCAGGGTCGTGCATGTGCTCTGTAATACCTTGGAGTCCTGTGCAAGGTCGTAAAGGATGGAGTGGCCGGGACTCTCCCTCAGTTCACTCTTACCTGTGGCAGCAAGATGAAACCAACTACTTTATTGCAGCTTCAAATTCATTCCTTTTCACTAATTGGGTGAAGAAATTTCATTTTCATTTTTCTTCTTCCTTCCTCAAGTCTGGTATCTCTCTTCCCGCACAGTGGGATGAGGCACTTTGTGCCAACCTTCATGCCTTATGGCGGACTCCAAACCATTAGGGTTCAAACCCTGCCAGTCTTGTGACTCCCTCATTCCCCTCACTGATGGACAGAGTCATTGCATCTTCTGCCTGGGGGAGAGCCACATCTTGGACACGTGCTCAGTGTGCTGGTAATTTTCCTTGAGGGCTTGCAAGCGCAGGCTTCCTCCGGGTCCCAGAGCTGCTCAATCTCCCACTCCGCCCCAGGCCCCGCCCTCACCCGACCCCCTCCCCCAAACTCCCACCCCTGTCTCACCTCTTCCTGCTCTGCACCAGGCCCTGCCTCCACCCCACCCCTTCTCCCAAGCCCCGCTCCTCCTTCGCCCCGCCTCTTCCCGCCCAGTTCCACCCTCCCCCGAGCATTCCCTGTTCCTGCTCCATCCCCTCCCCCACAGCGCCTCCTGCATGCTGTGAAACAGCTGATCGCGGCAGGTGGGAGGCGCTGGGAGGGAGGGGGAGGAGTTGATTGGTGGGGCTGCAGTTGGACGGGAGGCGCTGGAGCGGAGTGGGGGAGCTGGCTGCCGGTGGGTGCTAAGCACCCATTAATATTTTAGTTGACGCCTATGCCTGCAAATCCAGGCATGTTAGGCTCATATGACATCTGCTTGAGCAATCCATGCAGGTCACTTCAGACCCAGAGCAAATTACACCAAAATGAAGCCAAAAGAGTCTGTGACAGCCAGCAATCCCTCAAGCAGACGACATACCCTGCGATAGGACATTAAAGAAGAAATGTGTGAAGAGGATGGTGTTGAAGCCAGTACCAACAATGTCCGTCTCCCTTGGTGATAGAGCCAGCCACCCCATACCCTTCTTACAGAAGACTGACACCCAGAGGCAAAGTGGGATGGAGCAAAAACATAACTCCAAACACCATTCAGGATCATTCTGCAAGGAGGACATAAAACATCACTTTCTTCAAAAACACAGGCTTCAAATCCTCCACCAAGATGGGAGTGCACATGGAAAGGAGACTTGGTACTAGCACAAATGGTCAAGCTGATCAAGAGCCTGAGATATGCATTCATATAAGTACTGATGTCGCTTCCAGACATACTGTGCATCGAAGCGGTGACCGTCACTGGAACCAGTACAGAGGTCTCCTCAGTGCTGTTTCATCAGCACTGAGTAAAGTTGCTTCTCCCCTATCCTCAGAGCGTGTCCCCAAGGATGATACTGGATGGTACAGTTCTGCCTCAGGTGAGGCATGAGGTGTGACAGACCCAGACGAGAGGGGTACAGGAGTCTGGTAGAGGGCAAATATACTGGTCACTGGATGAGTAGTTTTCTGTTCCCTGAGTGACCAGAGCAGGGGCTGTACTAGAGTAATCAGGAACCTGCTAGAACCAGTTAAGGCAGGCAGGCTAATTAGGACACATGGAGCCAATTAAGAAGAAGCTGCTAGAATCAATTAAGGCAGGCTAATTAGGGCACCTGGGTTTTAAAAGGAGCTCACTTCAGTTTGTGGTGTGAGTGTGAGGAGCTGGGAGCAAGAGGCGCAAGGAGCTGAGAGGGAGAGGGTGTGCTGCTGGAGGACTAAGGAGCACAAGCATTATCAGACACCAGGAGGAAGGTCCTGTGGTGAGAATAAGGAAGGTGTTTGGAGGAGGCCATGGAGAAGTAGCCCAGGGAGTTGTAGCTGTCATGCAGCTGTTACAGGAGGCACTATAGACAGCTGCAGTCCACAGGGCCCTGGGCTGGAACCCGGAGTAGAGGGCGGGCCCGGGTTCCCCCCAAACCTCCCAATTGACCTGGACTGTGGGTTCTTCCAGAGGGGAAGGTCTCTGGGCTGT